GGCAGGCGCTGTGCTGCTGAGCTAAATCCCCAGCCCCCCCCCAATTGATTTTTCATTGTTGACATTGTATCAGCTATGCTACTGCATTTGCGTATTAAATCTAGCAGTCTTTTAGTGGAGGTTTTGGGGGTCTTCTGTATAGAGTGTCATGTCATCTGCAAATAATGATGATTTAATTTTTTCCATTCCTTTTGTTACAGAATTCTTTTTATCTTGTGAAACAAACACTGCCCATCACATAACTCGGCTCCTCTCATTCCCCCAGTTTCTGGCAACCAGCATTCTACTTTCATATTTCTTTTTTTGTCTCCTGCTAGGAATTGAAACCAGTACATTAGGCATGTCCAGTACATGCTCAGTCACTGAGCTATAGCCCTAGTCCCAACAGTTGTACTTGTTTCAGTCTATGGTTTTGAATACTCTCAGGTACTTCCTATAAGTGGAATATTGCAATATTTGTATTCTTATGACTGGCTTATTTCAATGTAGTTTTTTCAAGATTCCATGTAGTTTGTGTCAGATTTTTCTTTTCCTCTTTAAGGGTAAATAATACAGAATTAACACATTTTAAAGAAAAACAGGTTTTTTGTTTTGTTTTATGCAGTACTGAGGATTGGAACCATGGCCTTCACACAGAGCTGCATCCCTAGAACTTTTTAAATTTAAAGATATAATCTTGCTAAATGGTTAAGTTGCCCAGGCTAGGCTGAAACTTGTGATCTTCCTGCCTTAGAGGTATTGTATGTGCTGTTTCAGATGTTTATTTCCATGTTGCTTCAGTGTCATCTATACCACATTTTATCTTTAATGGACTTAACTACTGTGGATAATGCTAGTTGGAACAGGAATTTACACGTATGTTTTTGAAGCACTGCTTTCAATTCTGGTTGTATAGTGGAATTGCTGTATCACATGACATTTCTTTTAATTTTTTGAGGAATCATTGTGATTTTTCCCACAGCAGCTATTCCATTTTGTATTTCCATTTTACACTGACAGAAGTTTTTGCACATTCCTCGCTAACACTTCACTTTCTCCCTCTTCTTTCTATAGTAGTCATTCTATGTGTAAGAGGTGGTATTAGGTATTTAATTTGTGTTTCTGCAATGATTGTGATATTGAGCATCTTCATATACTTTTTGACCATTTGTACAGTTTTGGTGAAATAGCTGTTAAGTCCTTGACCCTTTTTGTTTTTTGATATAGGGTCTCACTATAGAGTCCAGACTGGCCTTGAACTCACTATGTAGCTCAAGCTGGCCTCAAGGTGACCTCCTGCCTCAGTCTCCCAAATCCTGTGATTATAGACATGCACCAGCTCGCCCAGTCCTGGGCCCATTTTGAACTGGGTAGTTTGGGTTTTTTTTGTTTTTGCATTTTAGGAGCTCTGTGTGTATTCAGGGTAATACCCCCTTATCAGATGTATGATTTCCAAATATTTTCTTCTGTTTTGTGGGTGGCCTTTATTACTCTATTGATAATATCTTTTGATGCAAATTAAGAAAAATTTTTATAAAGTCCAGTTTTTTGTCTTGTTGCCAGTGCCTTTGGTGACTTGTCCAGAAAATCATTGCCAAATCATATTTTGAAGCTTTTGTCTTATTTTTTATAGTTCTAGGTCTTATATTTGAGTCTGATCCATTTTGAGCTAAGTTTGTATATAGGCATTAAGTAAGCATGCACTGCTATTTTTCAGGGTGTGGCTATTCAGTTTTCCCAAAACCATTTGTCAAAAAGACCATCCTTTCCCCATTGAATGATCTTGGCATCCTTATCAAAAATCATTTTAGGCTGTCTATTCCACTGGCCTGGTCTTTATGTCAGCAGTAAACCGTTTACTGTAGGTATGCAGTTAAGTTTTTAAATCAGGAACGGTGAGCTTTCTGGCTTTGTTCTGTTTTAGGATTGTTACAGCTGTTCAAGGTCCTTTGAATTCCCTTAAGAATGTTAGAATGGGTTATTTTTTTAATGAAAAGAAAAAATTCATTGGGATTTTGAGAAAGATTGAATTGAATTGATTTGGATGATATTACTCATTTTGAGAGATTGCATTGAATCAGTTTGTGTGGTATTGATTGATGTCTTCCAATCTATGAACATGTGTGTTTCAGCTTATGTCTTCAATTACTATGGGCAGTGTTTTGTAGTTTTTATTGAAGTCTTTTATCTCCTTGGATAAGTTAATTCCAAAGTATTTTATTCTCTTTGATGCTAGTTTAAATAGAATTGTTTTCATGTTGCTTGTTGTTGCATGCAGAAGGACAACTGATTTTTGTGTGTTGGTGTTGTGTCCTGCTCCTTTCTGAATTCATTTATTATTTTTTATATGTGGGGTCTTTGGGGTTAATTGTAGAAAAGAGCATATTATCTGTGAACAGAGGTAATTCTACTTCCTTTTCTATTTGTGTGCCTTTTATTTATTTTTTCTTGCCTAATTGTTCTGGCTAGAACTTCCTCAAGCATACCGCCCCCCCCCCTTACCATTGCATTTTAT